CCCGAAATTTGAAGGTGTTTTTAGGTGTTTACGGTCAAGGTTCTTAGAGAGAGAAGGAGAGAGTTTTTGGCAAGAAATGTTCAAATGAAGGTGGAGGTCTCGTATTTATAGGGGTTTTGTGGTCGGTGGTGGGGTCCACTCTTTACTGGCCGTAAACGGGTTTACGGTCGTAACCTCACTTAGACCGGAAATGTTTGGTTTTTCGAGATATTCGGGTTCCCGCGCGATTTTTGATTCTGACTCGTAAATAATTTAATTATATATAACTAGATTATTTTCTAAACCAAGAAGTTTGACGGAAAAGTTAATGAATTCGCATTTTTATTAATGAAAATCGCGTAACGGAAACGGTCGAAGTTTCGGGTTGTCACATGATATTCTTTTTGTCATCTTAAAACCTTTAGTTGTAGATCATAATGATCTTATTTCTTTTTGTAATTGAGATGTTTTCTTCCTAATATTTATGGTTTGCAGCAACAAAAGTTATGGTTTATGTTTAAAAAATTAAAGTTGGCTCCATATCTACGTCTTAATTGACATCAAGTAATAATGTATACTGCACACCCAAGACCGTATGAGTAATTTTGAATGAGTTCATTTTTGGTAGGATCTTTCAATCCCAATCCGATCTTACAATCACGATCTTGCAACACACAAAACGATCTTAGGCAGGATCTCGATCTTGACAGCCTTGTTAGATACACAAAAAGAAAATAATTGGTTTTTTTTCTTACACATGTATATATTTAAAACTAATATATATCAAATTAATTTTAATTAAATAGTTTGATTTTAGAATTGTTTTTTTCCTAATGTTTCAGTTTATTAGATAATTAATTACTTTTAATTTAAGATGGTATTTATTAATTTAGATTGAAAAAAAAACACGTTTGTTGGTTTTTATAAGAATTCATTGTTGGTACAATGTTTAGATTCAAAAAATTGTTGGTACAATGTTTGGATTCAAAAAAATTGCTTCCTTATAATGATTGATATTACTTCTTTCATTTGATTTTTTATTAACCATTGTTGTTAAATTTAACAAAAAAATAACATATTAAAATATGTTATTTATTATTTTAGTCATTTTAATCTTTTCCTAATAAATAAAGATCTTTTTGTCATATGGCATATTCTCATTTATTTTGACAAATGTAATTTTATGGTTATTTTAAATTAATTTGTATTCCAAATGTCATTCTATGGTTTTTTCATTTTATTAAATTGTAGATATCATTTATATTCAATAACTAGTTTATAACCCGTAGGAACCACAGTTATAAAATTAATTAAACTTTTATAATAAAAATTTATAATTACTAATCAATTATTTTAAATAAATTATTAATTAAGATATATCAAAATTTTAAAGTTATTATAACTTCAAATTTAACATATAATTAGAAAATGTAAATTTAAAATTTGAAATGAGTTGACTAATATATCTACATGGCACATGACATAATATTAATAAGGAGTTGTATTAAAGTGAGAATTGACAAAATGAGATTAAAACTATTCATTTATTAGAATAGAGATAAATGCATATAAATTTCATTAATGAACTTTCTTTCTAATTTCAAAATTACCAAATTAAAAATTAATTAATTTTCTTTATTTATTTATCTATCTAAATTATTTGTTTAAATTTAGAAGAGAAAAAAAAACACTTTAATTTTTATAATTCATATATTTTCTCATTTTTCTTAAAAATTCATACTTTTCAAATGTTTAGAATTTTGTATTTAGTTTTTTTTAAATAAACTCTTGTAATACATAGGTCTCATATCTAGTTTGTTAAATAACCAAAAACCAAAACCAAAACCGAAATTTGTTAAATAACCAAAAACCAAAACCAGTTTTTTCCTGAAAACCAAATCTCAGGTTATTGAATACAAGTCGAATTTTCCGTTACAAATTTTGGTTTGTTTATGGGTTCTTTTCAATCCCAAAAACTAGGCTCATCTATAAATAAAGAATAAAGATTTACAAAAGATTTGAACAATATCTTGCATTAATTGCTTGTACCACCAAAATGATATGCTTGTGCAGTGGTCCTATAAATGTACAAACGGGTAATGCATCTTACCAACTTATTGGCAATTTGCCTAATGTGGGTACAAGCCAATAATGCAAGAAACTCATATCTCAACAAAATATATAAATGACTCAAGATGCATCATGCAGAACATTAATGCACAAAAAAACATACCTTCTTTCACATCAAATCATTGACCTCGCCAAATATAATTGCAATTGCATGGTAGATGCATTACTAACTTGCACCATTATGTACAAGTAAATGATGCATAAAAAACGTACCCGTGTAAAATACGAAATTGCATACTTGCAATTGGTTATAAAAAACACAACAAATTTGGCGAGTTTTCAGCATACAACAAGATCAAAAAACCGATAAGAAATCTGGCAAGAATCGAACTTAATTTCCATTCTGTCGATTTTGTGAATGCACGATCGATCTCAATCGTTGATACGAATCCCTACAAACATGAGCATAATCCGACATGGCTCTAAAAAGCTCAGGCAATCGAATCTTTAAACTCCCTAAAGATTTATCCCTCACTTGAGCACAAACCTTCTGATGAGCTTCCATTTCATCTTCAAGTCTCTTCTTCAACGTCTCCACCACAAACTGCCTTTCAGCAATCGGATCTTTAGGATCCGTACCCGGATTCGTTTCATCTTGTGGGCCCCGCCTCATAATATACTTCTGATACCAATCTTCAAAAGCCTGACTCTTCCTCAAGAACTCCTTCCTCGTTTCCTCCCATTTCTCCTTAAGCTTCATTTCCTCTTCTTGATGATTCATTATCGTTTCAATCACAGCAGCAAAAGACGAAATTGCACTTTTTGCGAGTTCATCCGGAAGCTTCTGGAGGTGGTCGTGCCATGAATGGAGGAGGGTTTGGATCGGTGGGTGCTGGATTCTTGGTGGCGATGAGATTTTTTCTTTTAAGGAGCTTTCTATTGGTACTAGGTTTAGTTTGAGCCAATTGTTGAGGGCTTGAACATAATGTTTTTGATGGGTTACTAGGGTTTCAAAGTGTGAGTGCCACCCTTGAACGACATGATAGAGTTGAACTGTTCTTTCGTAGTGGTGTTTGGTGGTTTCTTTGGGTTCACCGGAGACATCAAGAGATTTGAGATCCGTGACGATTGTTAATTGGTTGTCGTGATGTTCGCACATTGAATCCCACATCTTTGACATCCTGCATGTTCATCAGAGGGGTATTTTAGGTATTTTGAACACAAACTTGATTTTGTATTTGTTTGGTGGTCAAAGCGTAAAAAAGTAAACTTAAAGTCCTTAACTAAAACTTTTTGAATAGACACAATCACACAAAATCAAGAAATTGGGTGAGTTGTACCCCACCAGAAATGAATGCACAATTAACAGTAAAAACTACAAAAAGGACCACTTATAACTTAGTTGCTATTTAGAAAAAAATTATTTGAGGGCGGAATAGTCATTTTATTTGAGTACTTTATATCGGGATGAGGGTCAGGAGGGCCACCGAACTATTGTGTGATTGTCAATCAGGCTGCTCAATTATAAAAAGTTAAAAAGATGACACCCTTTAAAACCACCGAAAATTACCAAACTACCCATGATTTTGCATATGTTTGGAGGTCAAGATATAAAATCGTAAACTTCAAATCTTTTTGGTAATTTTGAATAGAAACAAACTCTATGAAGGTAGGTGAGACAAGGATGGGTGCAATGGTGGTGGGGATGAAGATTTGGTCAGACTGTAAAGTACAAGTCACCAATGCATGAATAGTAATAAATGCAAGATCTAAAAAAATTAAAATCAGAAGTTGTGTATGCTTGGCAAAAAAAAGACCCCTCAACTTTATTTTAGTTCATTAAACTAAAAACTTAACCGATGGCACAATGGTCATTTTACTTCCGGATAATCTAAGCCACATTTGACCTTTTTTTTTATAGTCTTAAATATCCTAAATTATCGAATGGTATTTGACTAATAGTGAGACAGACATATAGCAAAACTTACCCGTCAAGAAGAGCCACAAGTTTGGGATATAACTGCTTATCACGGATATCATTAACTTCAGAAACAGTCGAATCCAAAGATTGCATGTCAACGATGTATCGCGTATGCAAATGACTCACAGCCGCTTTTGTTTTTTCCAAAGATTCCGTACTCGCACCACGTTTTTTCAATTTGTTAAGTAACGAAACCTTCCTTTGATACTCAAGCTTCATAAGCTCCCCGGCCTATATGAATGAACAAGAGATATATAACAAATGCAACGTTTTCTTTGATGTAAAATTACCATTTTGCCCTTTGGTATAGACAAACATACCTTTACTTCTTCGTAGAGCTTTTTCTCCCATGCAAGGAGCTTATCAAGCACGGTGGCATGTGTCTCGTATTTATCCTCATCATACTCATCGTTACCATTATCACCATTAGGTGCACCTTTGAATGATCTATTCCATGTGATCACTCGCATCACTCTTGCAGCATGATCAATGTGACCTACAAAAAAAAAACCATAAAAATTACAATGTTGCCATTTCTTGCATTTAGCCCTAATTCAATCTCAAACCTTCATAAATTAAATCCAAGAAGAATTGCAATGTAATCCGTTTTGGAATGTATTCAAATTTCAAAGTGAAATTACGTATTTGCCCATACGGATTTACTAACTATTTAATCATGTACAAAAAGAAGGGTTTGTCACCTCGATTATCAGCAAAGTTGGAGTGATAATGCAACCGTGTGGTCTCGAGCATTCTGGAAACCTCTTGTGCACTCTCAGAAGCTTTCAAGAACTCATCATCAATTTTTGCCAGAATTTTCAACAAATTCACACTACTTGACCCAACAACCATACCGCTGCCACCGTTCACCGCCCCTCCTCCTCCTCTCCGGTTGAGATCCGGTGGTGCTGTGTTAGAATGTGTGAACTGTTTTGCCATCACTGGTGTCTCCTCTTCCTCTGTTGTAAACCCCTCCATCACCACTTTCTCTGGTGTTTTTGGCTCAACCTGATGATGGTGGAGGTGGTCGCTCCGGTGGAGGTGGTGGTGCTGGTGGTGGTGTGCACCGTTAATTTGCTCTTCCTCCTCCTCCTCTTCCTCATCCTTTTCATCAATAACATCGTCATATTCTTCATTCAAATGTGACCACTGCATACCACCCATATCAAAGTAATCCCATGGCATCTTTTCACCATCCGGTGGTGGAGGAGGAGGAGCCACCGGAGTTTGAGGCAGAGGTGATGGAGTCTCGTCAACTGCCGCCATCCTGCCGCTGCTCTTCCGCCCTTTTCTCACTCTCAAATCCGTATCATGATCTTCTTCCTCCTCCTCTTCGTCTTCCTCAAGTATAGCTCCGTTATTTATCTTCCGGCCACCCTTTTTGGCCACAGAGATTGCCGGCATTGTAACTGATCTCTGTAGTGGCGGTGTTGAGATAGGGGAGAAGCTAGGCAATGGTGGTGGAGCAGGGGTATATGTAGAAGTAGGTGGCGTAAAGGTAGATGTAGGTGGCGGGGGAGGTGGCGGGAAATGATGCTCCATTGGCGGTGGAGGAGGTGGTGGTTCCGATGACTCACCACCGCCACCACCACCACCCAAATGAGGATGGTAGACTTCATCAGCTTCGCCTTGTGCATAATCACTAAGGGCAGCTCCGGTGTTCTTTAGAGCCATAGCGTAACCAGAATGGCCGGAAGCGAAAGCATTTCTCGCCGTCACGGCTTCCTTCATGAAATTCCGGCGATCCTTGCATCTAGAAACAGCTTCCTCATTCTCAATCTTAGATTGAGCACAACCCATTTCGATTTTACTAATATCTTCTCTAGGGTTTCGATTAAATCAACAGGAGTTTTCCTGAAAGAGAAGACATAGTTAAAAACGGCTTAGATTCCATAGCTTTTTACATAAAGTCGCAGCTTTTTCACTCCAGAATATGAATCTTTTTTCCTGATTTAAACCAGACTAGAGATTTTTTTATGGGTTAAAAAACAAAACACAAACCATGTACCTCGGATTCCATTATACCTTCAAGAATCACATATCTTTGTCTACAAACCTTCTCAAGATATTACAAAAGATGAATTTTACAGAAAATGTTTTTGGATGAAAAACAAAAAACCCAAATTAAAAGATGAGACATTTATACGAAAATACAGACACATAATCAAAGACTCGCAACCTAGAGATGTTCTATGGTTGAAGATCGAAGAAGACATACCTCTTGCGTCATCAATGTAAATACTTTCTGGGTTCGAGAGGAAATGAGTTTGTTTTCTCTTCTGGGTAGGGTTTTAAGGAGAATCAATTGATTATAAATGTTGAAATTAATAAGCAGGAATTAACAGCACAGTCAAAACACTGAAGAACACAGAGATAGAGGTGTCGATAAGAAAGTGATGAAAAGAATCAAGAAATGGAGAACAGCATGAGAGAGAGGGACGAAAAAAGGAGAAAGAGACAAAATTGGGGGTGAAGGGAAGAACATGAGAGCACGAGAGCGGTGGCAGAGAGGAGAGAGAGAGGAGAGGAGTGCAGTCTCCCAGGGTTTGTACATACGAGTGGTGTTATTACGCGCCAGTGATTGGCGCGTGGATTTACTCGTGCATTTAAAATGATAAAAGAGCACAACGGTCACAATATTCGAGGTTAGTTGAACGACGCCGTAAGGATGTTAGTTTCCATGCTTAATGTTTTAATCAAAAAATACATATTATGAAAAACAATAAAAGCGTGCTTTCTTTTTGGAAAATTAGTAATCTAACCCGTTTTTAAAGTGTATTCGAACAAATATCCATTAAAAAATAGTAAAAATAACCGTTCGGGTCAAGAATAGGTATCCGAAAAAACATTTTTTTACTGATTTTGTGACGGCATTCCGAACTAAAATTCTGCATTTTGAAAAGAAAAAATAAAACTCGGAATTGCAAGAAATATTTCAAAATCCAAAGAACAATTATAGAAAAAATTCGTTTTCTTTCACTTAAGTTTAACAAAAAGTTAAACAAACATAATAATGTTAAACTGTATATTGTTAGTATTTTGTAAAATATGAATGGAATCGCCTAAATTCACTAAGAATTAAATATGTTTCATTAAATCGTATGATTCTTAAAGAATAAAACCTATATTCATATTATGTGTTATTATTTATCTTTTTATACAAAATATTATTATTTTTATATAGTAAAATTGGTATTATTTAATAAATACAACTTTAGGAAATTAGAGTATATCGTATACGAACCGAGCCCGAGCATGTATAAATCTTCACGAGCCAATATCGAGCTCTATATAATAATGCTCGAAACAAGCCGAGCTCAAGCTCGAGCTCCAAAAAAATTTTAACGGGCCAAGTTCAAGCCTAACTAAAATTAAACTTTGTTCAACTTGTTTGCACTTCCAACTCATATATATATATATATATATATATATATATATATATATATATATATATATATATATATATATA